TCCATCTCCATAAGGGACCCACACCTTCTTGTTGCCAAGATACTTGTAGAAACCCTTCTTGTTACTGTTCACTATCCCTTGCTAGCTGCAACTCCAGTTGCACTTTGGCCTTCCTGATTTCATCCCTACACACCAGAGCAATATACTTATTCTCCTCCCTAGTCATCTGTTCAAGCTTCCACTTCTTGTAAGCTTCCTTTTTGTGTTTAAGCTCACCCAAAGAGTTCTTTGTTAAGCCAAGCTGGTCACTTGCCACATTTGCAATTCTTCCTGCACATCGGGAAGGTTTGTTCCTGTGCCCTCACTAAGGTTTCTTTAAAATACAACTCCTGGACTCCTTTCCTCCTCAAACTGGCCGCCCAGAGGATCCTGCCCATCAGTTCCCTAAGGGAGTCAACGTCTGCTTTTCTGAAGTCCAGGATCCATACTCTGCTGCTCTGTTTTCTTCCTTTTGTCAAGATTCTGAACTCAGTCATCTCGTGGTCACTGATGCCCAAATTACCATCCACTTCTACACCTCCCCACCAATTTTTTCCTGTTTGAGAGCAGCAGGTCAAGAAAAGCACAGCCTCTAGTTGGTCTTTCCAAAACTTGCACCAGGAAGTTGTCTCTAACGGTCTCCAAAAGCTTCCTGGATTGCCAGCACATTGCTGTATTGCCCTCCCAGCAGACGTCAGGGTGACTGAATTCCTCCATGAGAACCAGGGTCTATGATCTGGAAACTTCCACAAGTTGTCTGAAGAAAGCCTCAACTACCTCATCCTCCTGGTCTGGTGGTCTATAGCAGACACCCACCATGATATCACCCCTGTTGCTCTCCCCTCTTATCTTAACCCAGGGACTTTCAACAGGCCTATCTCATTTCATACTGGAGCTCTGAGCAATCATACAGCACAACTCCTTCTCTTCTCCCTTGCCTGTCCTAGCTGAACAGGTTGTACCCACCTGTGATCATGCTCCAGTCATGTGAGCTGCCCCATCAAGTCTCTGTTACTCTAATCACATCGTAGGTCCTTGACTGTGTGAGGACTTCCAATTTTTCCTGCTTGTTTCCCAGGCTCTGTGCGTTACAGTACAAGCACCCATGGTAACGAGCCATTGTCCTACTTTCTCAGGAAGAATTGGGAAGCTTCCTCTGTTGCCCCCTCCTCCTTGAGCTTCCTCCAGGTCTCCCACTTCCCCACATACCTCAGGGCTTTGGTCTTCATCCCCCAGTGAACCTAGTTTAAGGCCCTCCTCACTAGGCCCATCATTGTATTAAATAAATAGGAAGGCAAGAATGCAATCTTACGGTCAGAAGATGGGACTCAAAATGAGAACCTTTGGGTTTTATTCCCAACTCAACCATTGTGTGATCCTGGGAAAGTTCATCTACCCATGTGCAATGATTAGTACTAACTTTATAGAAACAGAGTAAGGTTAGATTTTCGAATGCACTGTGATCACTAACTGAAGGACAGGATGCAAGTGCACAGGTTTGTACTCAGACAAGAATGGCAGATGGGGGCAATAATAAATTTGATAAGCCCTCAGTACTGATATTGATGGGACTGTCATCTCCCATCATCACTTATTACACCATTATGCTTTGCTCCGGTCTCTCTTACTGTACCTCATTTGCTTTCTGGTAGCTTCAACTGTGCCAGCCTCTGTGGAACTTTCGAAAGCCATCTCAGCAAAATTAACTTTGTTTGGCATGCCAGCTGTGTGAGAATATGAAGTAAGAATAGTTTGATTACCACCACCTTAAATAATTGTTAGGTCCTGCTTACTACTACACCTCCACCTTCTCCTCTCACTACCAGCCATCCAAAGAACCTTCATATGCACACTGTTATTTCCCTCCTCTCCAGTAACTTCAGTTCGAGACAATAGAAGTGGAACCAAACAAGTTTTCAAAGCAGTCACCAGGTGCCACTGAGCACTCAAAGTATGTGACAAGTCAAGGACGCATGTGTTCTCATGCGGAACGCAAACATGGGAGCAAGCCATACGCTTTGTGTTATATAAGCTTGGTATGTAAAAATCATGTAGAACCTGCTCTAGGGCCTTAGTCACTGAAGAAATGCATACTATTTCCTTCTACTTTCAGGTACTGAGGTAACAGCCCAAATAGAAAGGAATATTACTCTGATAGGATGCAGAGGTTATATTGTATTAGCAATATTTCTAACCTAGTAGAGTAGGATTATATAGGGCTAATGAGATAATGCAGCACTCTGAATCACTTTGCGCTTCACATTTCCAAAGCACTCCACAATCATGCATGATATAGGCTATTCACCTTGTTTTCCTCTTGTTAGATGACTTTCCCCAAGGGTAATAAAGCATTAGAATTGTGACGTCTTGGCTAGAATCTGGGAGTCCAAGAACTAGAGTATACTACTTCCATCAACCTATCACTAGCTTAATGCCAGGTGGCATTAATGCAACAGCTAAGAACTCACCATCTTACTACATAATGGACTTTTTCTTCATGTTGATATTGCCATAAGTTAATACACCTATCTTATACCCGCTTACTATTCAGTTTCATCACTGCCTTGACATGTTTGCCCTTTATGACTTTTGATATACTGATATGATGAGCATGTACTAGACAAATTGATGTGCATCTCAAACAATCATTTTCCAGATAATGCCAAGATCTTACCATATAATGCCAAGAAATAAGTGTTTCAAAATGACAAAAGGAGGATTTAAAAAAAAAAAAAAAGTGTTTGATGTTGGTTTAATTCTGTCCCAATGGACTTTGAGAAGGGAGAGTCAGGCTAACATTAGACAGTTTTGAAATGTCCAGCGTTTGCCTACCTGCACACTAGACAGAACTTTGAATCCTGTTAAAATATAACTACAGCCCTTCCAGGCCAGTACAATCTTGTCATCTCAAGTTAAGCAGGGTTAATTCCAATGCTATTCTGAGCAAAGACTGAGCAGTAAAGCTATGTTAGCAATTAAGTATGTAAGACTTCCCTTGACTGAGTTTTACATCTTGAATGCAAAGCCTTCAGTGTTGGACTTGCATGGAAACACTTGCAGACTTGCAAAGGGCCATGGGAAGAGGGATGAAATTTCATTTATACCAATCTCACTGTATATGGTTGGTCCTCTTAACTCCAACTGTGGAGACCTTGTCTGTTCTTAGTGACATGGGGGAGAAGCTTAGAAATGGAATGCAGGATTAACAGCATTCCAGTGACTGAGCTGGCATCCTCACTGAAAAGTGAACAGGTTACTAGCTTAAGCGAAAGCAGAACCCAGGTTCTAACCAATAACTTCACTGTGCCAGCTAGCCCCAGCTGAAAGCACAACTAAAAAACAAATTTCAAGTAGTAAAGGCTGGGGAGAAGAAAGGAAACAAGACTGACCAACCAACCCACTCACCCACCCTGATTCACAGCCTGGTTAAACTGCAGTGAAGTCATATCCTAAATAGTATGACAAGAATAACTCTCAGTAACTCTCCCACACCTCTGACAATCTCTCCTTTAATTTTCTCCTTTCTTTCCACAGAAAATATATTATAGACGTAAGATTTTATTGGATCTCACTGAATTAATCAAGAGCAGACACATGAATAAACCCAGGACCTGGCTTTTGGGTTACTTTCCAAAAGATACTATTTAAATGACAGTCAAATCTGCTCAATTTAACCCCCACCCTTTCAGCATTTTTTTTTTTTTTTTACTAAGAAACTATTCTAGACTGTAGGTGACTTAATATTTAAAATACAGTAAGACCAACAGCAGCAAGTTATTTGTCCCATAAGAATTAAGCATGTGAAAAGCCAGCAATTGAGAGGACTCATTCTAGCCTTCCAAAGGTTTTAAAGTTAAAAAAAAAACCCAACATATCCTCATACTTAACCCTTGCACCCTGGCCCCCCCACCCCTCAATCCAGAATCTGAATAAACTACACATTTTTCAACTACCAGGTTTACAGATTTAACTCCAAATACAAATATTAAAGCTTTCAAGTAAGGCTTTCTGGCTTGTACATCAGTGACACCAATAACAAATTCTGTCTTCTGTAACCCTGTTGTCATGTTACATGGCTATAGAAGTATAAGTGAGGTACTGGACTCTGTAAACAAGTCAAGAAAATTTAGGATCCAATTCACTGACAGAGCAAATGGTTGTAAAAACTCATTTTTAGCTGTAAACCAAGCAGATGCAACTCAACATTCACAGATCTCAACTAAAAAGACTGTAATTTTTGCTTAATAAAAATAGAACCATAACTGATGCTGCCTAAGGCACTGAAATGGAACAAGACTCTAGAAACAGGGCAGCATTAGAGTTCAAATTAATTGTAGCATTCTGTTACTGAATGTTGTCACTACAGGGCTAGTATTCACATCAACACTAAAAGCCTTGCATATTCAACACCACATATCGCATAACACAGGGCGATTAAAAACCTGCTCCCCTTCCCTGGCTGAACTCCTAGTGTCTGATGGACCCTCTGTGACCATGACCACCACATCCAATGCTATTCCTAGTGATAAGTACCAGTTTGATTAGTCGTGCTTGTAGTGATCACTTGGTTCAATAAGCACAGGCATATATGAATGAGAAGAACAGCACACTTAACATTTGTGGAGCAGTATGCAATGTCTGCAGATCCTTGGTACTCTTCTCACTAACTGACTAACTTGCTAACTCTGCCTGATGGACCATCCTCCCAATTCCCCCAGTCCCTTATTAAGGAGCAACTTTAAATTATAATTTCTATCACTACACAGTGTTCAGGCCCACAAAAATTACATCATTCACATTTGGGTCAAAACCATGGTTGAGTAAGCATGGAGCAATGGAGCTTTTGACTATTTAGGAGACGGTTTTCCTATGGGATATAAATGTCATATAGGTGAGGGAGCTGGGACCTCCCTCCTGCACCATGGCTAATTTTTTCCACCTTAATAGGACAAAAAACAAACAAACAAAGTTAAGCAAGCACACAATTAAACTGGACCCCAAACACACTAATCGATTTTCACTTTCAAAAACAAGCTATACAAATTTTTATTCACATTGTGTTGCCTGTCAAGTTAAAAATAGTCATCACATTTCTACATCCATTTCTTTGTATCAATTATTGTCCCCGACTGTAAAAATATAAGACCAATATACAACTAATGCTAGTTTGATTTTTGTAAAAATCAACATTCATTTAGTGAGATATCAATGTACATTATACACTAAGGTTGTAAGAAAAATACTGATATTTGACATTTCAAACATTTTTTCATTCATGTAAAAATCAAGTTGCAAGTAAAGTTAGAAAATACACAATATTCAGAGGAGTACATGTTGCAGATAACTCATAAGAACATTGTCCTAAATTTACATAAGCTGTGGAAGAACATGATTCACAGTTCGGCTTTACTTATCTGGTACCATAACTGAATTTCACAGGAAGTGTGTCTTAAATTCAATTAACTTTTTTTTCTGTTAAAATAAGGTGCACTTAGAAGGCCAATCTGCTTTCAGACTGCCAGTAGAAAAGAGGGATCGACTGCTTTCACTGTGCATGTACATGCCCATATAACACTATTTAAAAGAATTTTGGTTTTCCAATGCATTGTGAAATAATTTGGATGTTATAAATTAGTTTATAAAATCTAGATTAAAAATACAATTTACACATTAGATATTTATCACAAACTGTGCATTAATAGCAGCTTACTATTGTCAATCATGCATTAATAAACTTCATATCAATTTTGGATTTTATAGCTAAAAATAAAATTTGTACAAAAGAGTGAAGCTGTGAAGTATTTTCCTCTACAGAGACATTTTAGAGGATGTGAACTGTTAAAAGCTTAGGAGGTAGTGCATGAAAGGCTAACAATATCTGTATAATCTTTAGAAAAAAAACTTTATACTGAATCCCCCAGTACCATTTTTACATATAAAAGTCAATTAAACAACTTGTTTCAATAGTTGATTATCCTGTAATATGATTTTAAAACAGTTAGTAATAAGCAATTTTATATAGTGGTAGGAGATTGGTAGAAGAACTTTTAGAAATGGTCTATTATGGCAACTGCAGTGTTAAGCAATTACATGCCATGCAGTCTGTCATTTTCATTGCCAAATGCATAAAATGCTTACTCTTTAGGCATTTAAAAATAATTTTTATGCTCGATTCTACCACATATCGTAAAATTTCTTCAAAGTAGAGCTAGTCTATATTGAGTACTTTTCACAAAAATAAATGTGTTACTCAAAGGAACACCTCCTCATTGATCAAGTCAATCAGTTTCAAGGAAGCGTCCTAAGAAATGGAAATTTATGTACAGTTTTATTGTATAACCTTATTTAAAATTTCCTTAAGTTCTTAACACTGGTTTACAAACTTAGTGTTCATGAATATGATACAAGTAGGAATTAAGCTGAGCAGCGCACTAGTCTTACATGTTCGTATTTAAGCAATAAATTATGATCCTGTAACACTAGTGTTCTAAGGTGTCATGCTTATGTGTAAGTTAACAGCTTATCTTACATCCAAACTGCTGCATAACTAATGTACCATATTAGACCCATAAAACAATTCCATCAAAAGCATTACACCTGTATTAAGAAGTGTGCTACCAGTTCAGTATCTGTGGATTTCACTCTTCTCTTAATCCAAGTTTGTTTTACTCATTTGATTGTTCACCATACATTCAAGTACACAAAAGGCACAAAGTGAACAGAACTAGAATAAATGAAAGTCATTCACTGAGTTTCTAGGGAAGAGAAGGAGGTCCTCAAACCAAAGAAATGGAGGGAGAGGGGAAGAACCCATAAAAACAAACAAAAAACCCAGTTTTCCCTAAAAGCCGAGTTTTGAGCAGCATGGATTTTTAAAAAGGTTTTTAAATTTAAAAGAACTAGCAACATGTTTATTTCCGTCCCATTTTATATTCTTAAACTGGAAATAATTTTTGCCTGTTTTAAATTTAATAGTTGTTAGTAAAACAAATTCTAAGCAGCTGCATGCTTAAAATGCTGAGCCATATCCTTACTATTAAAATGCCACAAAGCTGATAATAAAATAGCCCATGCTGTAATTTAAAACATCCCATACTGCTATATTGAACATCACAAGTCAAGAAGCCTGAAATACTTCAAACTGATAGAATATAATTTGGTTGAAGTCCACAGGACTTGTAATTGACTTAGGAAAAAACCCCCTGCAACTTTCACCCAAGATTCCTATTGCAAATATTAGCTTGCACAAATAGTGTTAACCACCTTGAGAGTTTAAATGCCTTCTCCTTACTACCACAAAAGCAACTGTTTTGAAGAAACGTTATGCCACTAGCAGAAGAGTTTAATATAGTTATAGCCCTGGAATTACAGAATACTAAACCAGATGCTTAACATTCAGCATGATAGCTCCATGTAAATAAATGTTAAGCATCTGCTTAAGTGCTTGCAGCACAAGGGCTATTATTTCTGATACTGTTTTGTCTACAGGACCTTCATAAATTAAATGTTCATGGCCCATTTTATTTCATAAGTTCTAATTTAAAAGTTTCAAAAGACAGGTTTGACTTTGTTTTTTCTTTTTCTAAAACAATGTAAACTGCTTGAATCTGGAATAAGAAATAATTTGGATGTAAGAAAAACAAATCGAGACACAACTTTCAACTTGCTACCAATTTCACTCAACTATCTTTCCATTAATAAAAATCTTTAACATCACTAGAATGTTTTGAACATGTAATAAGCTCAGGTGAGATGTTAGTTTTATAACCTTGCTTGAATTTAAATTTCTTTAGAAGTGTACAGAAAGGTAAAGTACAATAATTAATAACTAGAGCAAAGTATAAGAGACCACTTTAAATACCATAAAAACTAAGAGAAGAGAACTGGTCCTCAAGCTACAAAACTGGAAGATTATTAAAACTTTCACATTAGAATTTACAATCATAGTTAAGAGCATTTCCAAGTAATTTTACATGGCCATGCCTGGAAGATTAGAAACAATTAAGTTGTATGTCTAATTAATTATTTAATCTACCTCACATGGTAATGGAAATTTACTTTTCAAAAGCCAGTAGTACCCCACTTAATAAATATAAAGTCATACCTCTCAACCATCCTTCATTTTCAACTGAGATTTACCTCTGTCCAAGGCTTACCAGTTATTTACCCTCGCTTGTAAAATATTTACACACATGTATAAAACTATGCAACTGAAATAAGCAACCATTTTTTAACTTTACTGTACTTATTTTTTTCCTTCTATTTGTTTACAGCTTGTAGTGGTTAAATAGGCTGAGAGGTATAAACTGCATTTCACACTGTGCCAAATTGAAAGGTATATGGCATCTTCAGTTAATAGTAAAATGTAATGATGCAATTTCATAATGTTATGATTGTTCCATCTTCTTCTAAGGACTTTTGGTCTGCATCACGTATTTCATACTCCATGTTAATGCTGCCTGCTGAATGAAATAAATTTACTTCGCTGGAAGGAATGAAACCATTTTGTGTCGACTCATGAAGAAGTTCAATTTGTGTCAATGACTCCAGACTCTCACAGGTCGGGACAGCTTTTGGAATCTGCTGTGGCTCACCACTGTCTTCAATAATAATGTCTTCATCATCACTTTCTTCTTCTTCTGGATGGTAATTCTGCACAACGTGTGGTGTGTAACTTTGAAGACTATTATCAGTCGACTGACCCGAGCTGCCAGAAGTCCGACTGTTCCTAACAATATTATTTCTCTGGTTTGCTGGTCTCACTGTAATGATCAGGTTACGGCTATTAGCAATCATCATGTCTGTAACTTGATCAAGACTCTTTCCTGAAACTTCTATTCCATTCACCTCCAGTACTTCATCATTGACAGCCAGTAATCCTGTGCTTTGAGCAAGGCCTCCAGGAACAAGCCTGGATATGAAAATGCCCGGTACCTTCTCTAATCCATGTGGCGTTACTCTCACACTAGAGCCATCTCGTATATAGAATCCAAGTGGTTTGTCTGTTCCATATTTATAAAGTCGTACCCGGCGGTGAGTTTCTGGAAGAATGTCCACATCTATAATAGAAGACACTGGCCTGAAGTCTTGTGGCATGCTAATGACAACATGCGGTTTCTTTCTATGGTTATCTGGACGCAACACATTTGATAAAACATTTTTCTTCCTCGTCATAGTGTCTGTACCAAAAGCACTGTAGTCTGCATCTTCTGAAAAACAAATAGCATATTTCAGTAATTAGGATAGCATGAACTATACTGTCCAATCTAGATTAGATAGCCATCAATAATCAAAGCATTTTAGATTGACAAGGCTTAAAACATTTAATAAAGTTCTCAGCATGCAATACTAGCAACAGTTCTCTTCATTGGCAAAACAACAGCTTTTACATTAACAGGAAACCAAATCTGATTTATGCTTATCTGGTTCATAATTATGAACGAAAAAAAGCCATTAGGGGTTTAAAAAAGTTAAAAGCAAAATCAGTAGCCTAGTACTACAGGTATTAAGGTGAGAGACTAACATTTAAAAAAAAAAAAAAAAATAGAGTGGGAAGAATACACTAACATTTAAAAAAAAAAAAAAAAATAGAGGGGGAAGAATCAAAAAGTTTAAAACCTCTTTTCCCCACCTAGTTTTCAATGACATTTGCAAAACAGTACCTGACTCTTACCCAGAATATTTTCATTTGTTAATTTTCTCCCCTCAAGTTTCAGTTAATGGGAATAGAAAAGAATGAGAAAGGGAGAGCAGCCAGTAGACCTATTATTGCTGAGTACCTGGATGCTAGCCAACTGACCTGGATTCAAACTCCAGAAAGTTTATTCAATTCTATTCTTCCCTGCCCCCATGCTAAAAATGTCTGATCAACAACAAAAAAAGAACCCCAAGATACAGCACAGCAGAAAATACTTCAGGAAAATTCTAAACAACTGATATAACTGCCATAATCTGAGTTGACAGAAGTGTCTAAATGGTTTATAGTCACTAAAGTTTCTCTTTAAGCCTGCAAACTATGAGATTATTTCTTTATAGAAAAGAGTTAGCCAGCTGTGATACTGAACTAAAATTTAATTCCAAGTGTATGCCAAATACATATTTTAAACAAACGTCTCTAGTTGAATTTTAGCATAGGAGGTAATAATTCAGGAAGTGTCAGCAGGCTAATCACATTAGCACTTCTCCAGTGCTTTGTATAGCTTTGCCTCATTTTAATAAAACAAGTATTTTAATCCTTTATAGAAGAATAGATACTCCCACATTGTTTTTCCAGTTAGCATGTGAACTCCTGAGATCAGCTACCCCACAATTTCTTTGTGCCTACATAAGTGGTGCTTTAACTCTCAACCGAGACAAATAAAAAAAGGATTAAAAAAACAGAATTATAATCCCAATTGCAAACTAAGGAAATGCTATTTAAGTGTAAAAACATAAGAGGAAATAAAAGACAATTTTGCAATTATTTAGTTGGTCTAATAAAAGATATCACCTCTGCCAAAAGTTCTGCATAAGAGGAAATTAAGGTCTCTTTGCTAATAGCACTTAATGAAACTGAAAGTCATGCATACTAGGATTGGGAAACACCTCCCACCTATGAAAGAAAATAAACACATTCACATAAATTAACATTTCCTATTCACCACAAAACTGAAATATATTTAATGGATGTACCTAGAAGTTAACAGCTGCAGAAGAACCACAATGACACAAAACATTCAAACATTTAAGACTTATAAATACCATAAGCAGAACAGAACAGAAATACAATTCTAAACCGAATTGTAGCGTTAAGGATATAAATCATTTGTCTAAAAGTGTAAACAGAGTATACAAGTTGACAAAGCAAGAAATGTATCAAAGCTGGTCTGAAGAGGGGGTTCTTGACTGTATGTTTTGTAGCTTCAAAATCTTACTAGGCAATGAAATAATAAAGCAACTGACTTTCAATGACGTATGCTGACTATAGGGTGGAAGTAGGTAGCTAAGTCAATAGAACCATATTATATTTCGCAGTTACCTTTTTGCTTTCACCTTGACTCCTTAAAATCCCCCAAAAACCTCACATTGGGAGGGCAGAGATTCCTTTTCAGAATGCTCCAACCATTTCTCATATCATCACAGACTCACTGCCACCATTGTTTCAATGTGGGCACCTCATCAGCACTTGGGTGTTGTGGCTGAAGGAGCACAGGAAGCATCACCACAGGTAAGTCCTGCATATGCCAGGATATCAGTACAAAGGACTCATTCCACAGTGTTGCTGTTTCACATGCAGAGTTCAAGTTATCAGTACACTGAGGACACCCCAGTCCATCTGGCTCGCCCCCACCACCAGGGGTGGGGCCAGAACCTGTTGCAGGGATGTGCAGGCAGCAGCGCCTGAGCTGTCACCGTCCTGCAATCTCAATCCCAGGGCCAGCCCCATCCCACTCCAGGATGCTGCTCCCCACCTGCCCACAGTCCCATCCCAGCTATATACAGAGGCCACTTAAAGAGCTCTGGTGAGCTGGTGGGGGTGGGGGGTGGAGGAAGGCTGTGACCCAGCTCAAACTCCCTTAGTGGCCCTCCAGCCAAAATAAATGCCCACCTCGGAGTTAGAACGTTGTTGTAGCTGTGGTGATCCCAGGAAGTGTAAGAGGCGAGGAATTTTGTTCTGTGATATCTTTTATTGAACCAACTGTATAGTTAGGAGAGACGTTAGGCAAGCTTTCTTCAGATGCAACAGCTTTTTCCTGAGACCTGATAAAGGACAGTGTGTGCCCAAAAGCTTGCCTAACATCTCTCCTAACTATACAGTTGATCCAATAAAAGACATCAAAAAACTACCTGCCTTAAGAAGCTAGATGAAGTGGGGGCAACTAGAAGATTATGACAACTGAACAGGCTATACCAGCAGTTCTCAACCTTTTCTAAAACTCAAAGCACTCCACAGAAAATGCCAGTACCTAGTTTTCACTTATTTTTGGCTACAGAAAAAAAAAGAGAACAAGTCTCCTGCTGCAAAGAACTCTAAGACCACAACAGGTCAGGATGTTTTTGATGCTATGGATTCCTTTTTTGAAAACTGGATTTATCTTGTGAACCCTGTTTGCATGCCTAAGTGCAAACTCTGCAGCACCCACAGCACTCTTGAAAAGATCTCTAGGCACCCTAGTGTACTACAGTGCCCTGGCAGAGAATTGTTTGGCTATATACTTCAGGGACTTCAATTCAGTTTTAATGAATAACGGGATTATAACTTTATTGTTTCTTGAAGAAAAAATGAAAACCAGCCTGTGTAAGAGAAGCTTGGAACTCCTCTAGTTTAGGAACTCGGGATGGGGGAGGGGAAACCACCACAACTAAGCTAAATGTTAAAGACACAGTCCAGATATTAATAATGAACTCTTCTTAACAGTGTTTCCTATGCCAAATCTTTAAAATTAAAATTTTAATTTTAATCTTTCTAATAATAATCTTCCTATGCCAAATCTTTCTGAGCTAAGGAGTTTAGTAAGAGAGACACTGGGGACTTGGAGCTTCAATGAGATGGGAGTCCAGGATGTGTGGCTGTGGAGCTTCAATGAGATGGGAGTCCAGGATGTGAGGGTGGTCCTTAAAGAGATGATCCTCCGAGCTCAGAGGGAGTCAGTCCCAACACGAACCAAAGCGGACAAGAGTGCTAAAAAGCCCCCTTGGCTCAGTAAAGGCATCCAGGAGGGCCTGAGGGCAAAAAATGTGGTATACAATCAGTGGAAACAAGGAGCAATCACCAAGGAGAATTACACCTCCACTGCTTGTGATTGCAAGGAGGTGGTTAGGAAGGCCAAGGCAGAGATGGAACTAGGGCTGCCAACCAGAATTAAGGATAACAAAGTCCTTTTTCAAATACATAGAGAGTAAGAAGGCACCAGGTAACATGGGGCCCCTACAGGACAGGCTTGGCAATCTGGTGATTCCAGCAAGGGAAAAAGCTGATCTCTTCAACGAGTTCAGGCTCAGGGGACACGACGTCATGCCTAGGGTCAGGGACGATCTAGTTAGGGAACTCTTGGAGCGGCTGGACATGTATAAAATCAGCAGGTCCAGATCCTTTTCATCCAAGGGTACTGAGGGAATTGGCGGAGGTCATAGCAGGGCCCCTGGCACGGCTGTATGAGCACTCGTGGTGCTCTGGTCAGGTCCTAGAGCACTGGAAAAAGGCCAGTGTGGTCCCCATTTACAAGAAGGGGAGAAATGAGGAGCCGGGTAACTATAGGGCAGTTAGTCTCAACTCGGTCCTTGGGAAGACCTTTGAGAAAATTATAGCACATCTGCGGGGGCCCAACATGGGAGGTAATGCTCAGGGGCAACCAAAACAGGGTCATTGCGGGCAGATCCTGCCTGACTAACCTTGTTTCCTTTTATGACCAGGTCACCAAGTTCTTGGATGAGGGCGTTGAGATGGATGTTGTTTATCTGGACTTCAAGAAAGCCTTTGACACTGTTTCTCACTCCATTCTCATAAAAAAACTAGGCAACTGTGGCACTGATGCCTACATAGTCAGGTGGGTGGCAAATTGGCTTGATGGTCGTACCCAGAGAGTGGTGGCGGACAGGTTGTTTTCAGTCTGGAGGGATGTGGGCAGTGGAGTTCGCCAGGGCTTGGTCCATGGGCCTGTGCTATTCAACATCTTTATCAGCAACTTGGAGGTGGGAGTGGAAAGCATGCTGTCCAAATTTGCTGATGACACAAAGATGTGGGGAGAAGTGGGCACACTGGAGGGGAGGGACAGAATCCAACTAGAGCTAGACAGGTTGCAGAGGTGGGAGGATGTGCGGCATCTAGGGAGAAGGAACCTGCAGCATACCTATAGACTAGGGAACACGCTTCTCAACAACACAGTGGCTGAAAAGGATCTTGGAGTCATTGTTGACTCCTGGATGGATATGAGCCGCCAATGCGAGGAAACAGTCAGTAAAGCTAACTGCACCTTGTCGTGCATCTACAGATGAATCACAAGCAAGTCCAGGGAGGTGATCCTTCCCCTCTATGCGGCATTGGTCAGGCCGCAGTTGGAGTACTGCATCCAGTTCTGGGTGCCGCACTTCAAGAGGGATGCGGCTAGCATTGAGAGGGTCCAGAGGAGAGGAACTCGCATTGTCAAGGGGCAGCAGGGCAGGCCCTACAAAGATAGACTAAAGGGCCTGAATCTATTCACCCTCCACAAGAGAAGACTGAAAGGGGATT